CCTGCAAATATTAATATCTGGGGAAGAGTACATCAACTGGAGGAACTGATAGACCCAACTGTTAGTGTAGAAGATGAGAGGTCCTAAAGTAGAAACAGATGATGGCAGAGACCCTAAAAGGGAGAAGTTCATGCCAATTAACACTGAACAGTCCAAATTGGACGTAGAACCAGTCCAGGTCTGAATGAGCACAGAAATGAGAAATAGAAGAAAAGAAGAGACAGGAGAGAAAGAACAGTCACCTCCCGAGTGGCTGAAGTCTTAGGAAGAAAGGACTAGTTCAGATAGAGGAGTGGATAAGTGCAATGGAACAGGGTGGGAGAAGCATCAAGTGCATAGATATCTAGATGTCAGTGACCACAGACAAGAAGTTTTAAGAGAAAAGTGATATAAAGAGCAAGAAGCCACAGGCTCAAATGGGACATGTGTGTGTGTGCAACACCACATTAAAGTCCCAGTCAGACATGGGAGTCAGTGAAGAAGGAAGGATCAGAATAGAGTATAGAGGACAGAGGAAGAAAACAACCTATGGTAATAGGAAAGGCTTGCTAACCAGTGATGATGGAGACAGATAAACCATGGTTGAACAACTGAGCAAAAAGGCAGAAAGGTGTGTCACAGTAGGATGGCCAGGAGGAAGGGAGCAGTAGATGGCAAATGACAAATTCAGACACTTCAGTTGAGAAACAAAGTGGAAGGATGACAGGAATGGGATAAGAAGAACATAGCTCTAAGGGCAATGGACCAGACAAATCATGCACATGATGATACCCCTGGATGATAAACTGACGTATGAGGTTGCAACAATAGAAGGTATACTGCATAGAGGAAAAAGGAGTTCGGACATCAACTGAAGAAGTAGAGGGCTGAGTTCACCAAAGAGGCACCACCTAGAGGAATAAGAAGTGTTGCACATCAAGATGAGGTCCCAAGGGAGGAGTCAAAGAGGAGGATAGACATATAGAAAAAGGTGAGACCAAACATGGCTAAGAGCATTAACAGCCAGAGCTGAAGGATGAAGAACAGGGCCAGAAGCTTAGAGTTGAGAGTAGTGGCAAAGGCATCTATGAGGGGTGAGCACACCCAACAAAAATCTGAGAATGGAGAGACCACTCCATTGACAGAACATGGTCTGGTTGAGAGAAGCCAGGTTCAAAGCCCCTGGCACATGACAAGCTATGAAACAAACCTGATAGGAATGAGCTTAGAAGAGGAGATCCAATGCTCAAGAGCAAAGAATCCTGGAGCAGGTGGCCCTTTGAGAGTTGATATAAGAAACTGTGGAATTGTTGGAGTAAATCATGACCAACTAATCCACTACAAGAGGATGGAAATGGGAATTTGGCTGACATGAGAAATTCAAGCACATTGATGTGGAATGAGCTCTCCTCCTGTATCCAAATGACATATATCATATTTTTGTTTAAGATATGTGCCCTAACTTAAAAGGGGAGTATTTGTGAGGAGATGGAGATCCAGTCAGTGGGTGGTAAGGGAATGCCAATTGTGGTATTGGTATGGTCTAGCCACCAAGAAAGATGCTTGAGAAGAAGAGGACAATAGATCCTAAGAAAGTTTTCATTGGTTTCACAAGATCCACTGGAGGAGGCATGTGTGCACTCTCCAAGGGAACAAGTGTTCTAGGGAAGTCAAAGTCACTGAAAGTGAAAGAACCTCTCATGCAGGATGAAATTAAGAAGTGCAAACTTGTTGATCATACATTCCATAAACTGTAGGAAAAAAGGTGAAGACTGAGCCCAAATGAAATAAAAGTTAAATAAAATGCCCATATATATTAAATACTGTGTTGGAATGAAAAAATATTTGGAAAGTTTGACAAGGCATCCCAATTAAGCAGCCTTCTGCATAAGAGCGGTGTGAGAGAAAGACACCTTCCAAGAAGAGGCAAGCAGAGGCCAATCATCCATGTATAAGTGTAATTCTAGCCACAGATTAAAGACATAATGGGCCAAGGCTATGCTGAAGGAAAGAGCATGGAATTGAAAGACTTGATTCCAATGGATAAAACGTATAAAATGTCTGGATGACAGAGCAATCAGGATATGTAGGAAAGTGTCCAACTTATCAACCACGATTGTTCACAAACCAGGTGAAAAAAACTATCAGAGACAATAATTTCTTTATCCAGAAACATGGAACGACCAGAAACCAGTTGGGAGACAATAGGTAGATAACCAGATGCTAGTCCCAAGTTTTCTTGGGGATCACAAAGAGGTAAGAGTAAAAACCTACAGAAGGGGTTTTAACCACCTCAAGAGCATTTTTGGTCAGAATAATATTGGAGACCATTTCCTTGAGACATTGAACATACACAAGGTTAGAGGGAGGAGAAAAGGAAATGGAGAGAGAGAGAGAAACCATGGGTAAGAACTTGAAGAACCTATCTGTCAGAAGAAAACTGAGACCAAAGGTTGTGGAAGTGAGACAGATGGGCACCCACTGAGCCTGTCCCAACTGGATAGTCACTGGTGAAACAAGCAATGAATCTGACATCAGGAAATGGGAAGGCTAGAATGCAAAGGGCAGGAGCAGACTGATCTGGTCAAGAGGCGAGGTTGAAAAAGATGAGAAACTAGAGATGATAACAAGGACTCATGGTGGGCTGCTTAAGCCCAGCTCTCCAGTAAATCAGGGATACCAAAAAAAAACAGTTAACTCCCGTGGGACATAATGAAGTACCTCAGACATAAGGTGGAGGGAGGCGAGGTAACATAGGAGGGTGGTGAGAAAAAGATGAAGACATGAAAACTGGTCACTAGAGTGTGAATTAGAAGGCAAGGGATTCACTCCCCAAACAGGCAAAAGATTCCAGAGACTGGAAATCTATAAAAAAGAAACGAAAAATGGTTTTAAGCCAGGAAGAAAGGGAAAGAGGACAAGGCATGTGGTTACAAGTGTAGAGCAATTCGTGAATGGAATCAGCATGACCCTAATATCAGGCAAAGGAGGAGACAAAGTAATGCCAAGAATTGGTTTCATCAAGTAAGAACTAGAAAGAATCAAAAGACAGAGGTGAAAGAACACACTTGAGAGATCACTTCCTTAAAGAGATTGGAAAGATGAGGATTTTCCTCAACCAGTACCCAAAGCAAAACCAGGTGGGGGAGAACAGTTGGTCAAATTCACCATCCTCCTTGTCATTCTCAAATGAAGGTAAAGGGACACTGGCCAAAGGGATGAGAGGAGGAGGCCCAGTATGGATGAATGAATCCACAGCACAATGTGCAATAGCTGTAACATATTCAACAATCAACAATCCTTCAGAAGACAAAGTAGAAACAGGTTCTGTGTTTGTAGCTTCCTCATACTCACAGGACAAAGTCACAGTTACTTGTTAATTCATAATCAGGCAGGCTGTAGCACTGCCTATGTAGGGATGAATTAAATATCTCCTCAATAGGTCATCAGAACTTTACAATATTATACAGTGTTTCCTTTTATAACAATATATATGTAATGACTGAATCACAAATTCTGGGAATGTCTGTAAATATCATATCAAAAAGTTTGAATTTCTTGTTGCTCTTTCTTCTGCTCCTTTTTTTATTACATGATAACTCAAAAGTCAAAACAAAGATGTCAACCAATTTCACTGAGGTGACATAGTTTCATAGGGAGTAGCCACTTTTATAAGTATTATTAATAACCAGTAGTAATTAAAAAAAAAATCATAATTCTGGTTTAAATGATGTTATCATTACCCCTTGATGTTCCCTTTGATGTTCCTACAAAAAGCTTTCAGTACAGTGTGAAACAGGAATTACCAGCCAATAATAGATAAACAATAAATATTATAGTTGGAACCTCACTGTATTTAGAACTTGGTTATAAATACAATCTTCCTATGTCTATTGAAACACTGCATTAAAAAACAACAACAAGCAAACAAGTAAAGAAAACCTTTTCAAAAAAGAAAGTAAATGTAGGGATGGATAATATCAATCCTTCAAAAATAAGGCAAACAAGATAGTAGGGATGACATTTACATCATTCTTATATAATAGCACAGGCAAGAATTAACATATAGCAATATATATAACTATTCAATCACAACCGAGTTAAATTTATCCTATTTTTGTCTGTCAATATTCTACAACACTTTGTGCCTGTGCTGTTATGTAGGGATGATGCAAATACCATCCTTACTATCTTGTTTGCATTGTTTTTGAAGGATTGATATTAGCCATACCCATATTTACTTCCTTTTCTGAAAAGTTTTTTTTTACTTTAATTCAACACTTTTGAAACAAAAGCTAAGGTATAACAAAACCTAAGTTTCTTTGTACAAATCTCAGTAAACTAAAAAACCAACATATCTGTACAAGGAAAAAAAGTTATTTCAAGTGCAAGTGTTTAAGGAGAGTTACTGTGCATGGAGGATGTATTGCCATCCTGAGAGTTACTGTGCATGGAGGATGTCTCACCATCCTGAGAGTTACTGTGCATGGAGGTTGTATCACCAGACACGAGGGATATAGTTTTCCTGTGTTCGAGGGTGAGGTATTTTAGAATATTAAAGGAAAAAAGGTGAACCTGCATTAAGACTACAATATAAGACATAAAAGATCTTTCAATGATTCATTCTTTATCTCTTAAAATATTTTAAGATGCATCATTTAAAGCAAATTCAGTAAAATTATATCATTCTTTCAAGACTATAAATTATCATTAAAGTTCTGTTCCATTTCTTATCAATTTAAATGTCATACGGGGTAATTGAATATACATAATTTACACAATCACCTTAAGGATCTTGGGAAATTCAAGATAACATTTCAGTAAGATCATAATGCCATTTTGTACAAAATGGTTAACTGATCCGTCACTTCAATTAGTGTATTCAACATGGCTCTAAGTAATTGAAATGATCTGTCATTAAACCTCATCATTAGAAAAAAATATTTTTGTGACATTCTACATTGTTTCAGAAAAATAACTATAACTCTATGTTTTCTTAAACATTGTCCAAATTAACTTACTTATTTAGAATAAAATTTGATGCAAATAACATGAACAGGCTGAACTCATTTCCTTGACAAGTAAATCCTTTCCTAGCAATTTCATAAGCTAAACGTCCTAAGCCAGCACCAGGAACTAAGATCTGTATGTCTCGAGGATTGCTGTAAAGTAAGAATGTCCCTTTAAAACTAAAACCATCTAAGATCTTACAACCTTCTCATTATTACCATTTGAAAACAATATAGTTTTAAGAAAGTAAACTTCAGTTTAGATGAACTCAACTGAAAGTCCAAAATCTTGTTATGAGTATCAAGTAGAAGAAACAACTCGTATTTTGTCTCCTGTCAAGACAAACATATACATTTATGTACTACTAAACAAACATGAACCCTAAAATAATTAAGGATGTAACCATCTAACCAAGTGCCAAAATAATATCAAATAGAGAGAAATTCTGCATTAATGCAATGGCTGAAGAAAAGCTTAAATGAAATTACAATACTTAAACTATGATATGACAAATTGCCAGCTACTAATTAATCAGTCAATTATTTTGAATTTTCCTGATCATAAAATCAGCTGGATATCAGACAAAGTAATATACAAAACTGGAAATTACATTACAGGAAAACATTTAAAAGGTTCATTAATCCAAAGGTTCACAGAAGGTGAATTATGTTTGATGGCAGAAAGGAGTTTAACTGTAGCCATTGACAGTATACTCTGTGTATCTGATAATAAGTAAGTTTTAAAGTAAAGTTTATAACTTAGTTATATGAAGGAAAAAAAAATGTACGAACAATGTATTATTTTTCAACATTAATTATGAAGCCTGTTTACAAATCCTAATGTTAAATGCATACATCTGTACCCTATGAATGTGTTTTCAATAAAGGTAATTCACTATGGTGAAAATATATACCAGGAGTTTGCCTGAAATACCTTTTTTGCTTATTTTATAATTAAAAAAATTAGGATTCCCATAAATTTCAACAAATTTGCATATAACAATTTTTAAGATTTTTCAGTTGCATTAAGCAATGATATATTTAATATTACATGCCAATGCAAAATATAATATAAAACTAGTTAAACCTAAATATTAAATATAAAACAACAAAAACTAAGCATCTGAAGTGTTAATATTTCATTAGTTCCTAACCACAGTTGGCAATTGTGAATTTCTGAACATTATTTCTTACTACAGGAATTTATTGACTGGCTCAAATTTACAAGACACTATCATGGTTTACTGTATCTTTACAAACTGTAAATAATATTGTTTTCTGTAATATGATGTTCAAGATGTGTGGTAAATGGATTGGCACACATTCACAAGACACTATCATGAAGACATGGTTTACTGTATCTTTACAAACATCTAAATAATATTGTTTTCTGTAATATGATGTTCAAGATGTGTGATAAATTGATTGGCACATATTTACAAGACACTATCATGAAGACATTGTTTACTGTATCTTAACAAACATGTAAATAATACTGTGTTCTGTAATATGATGTTCAAGACGTGTGGTAGATTTTATAACACACTTTAAATGTTGATTAATTAAATAGATATATTTCAATAGACATAAAGCAAGCTTGAGAAGTGAATACTTTACACAAGTTTTGAAAATGTATGTTATATCTGTTATTCAGGTTATCCATCAACCACAACTAACACATAATCCTAACAAACCGGCATGTTGCTATGCATAACTATAAGCCACTGCTGTTCACTATACAATTATGCATAGGGATAATATATCATTACTTTTAAAATTAAAATTTTCACATATAAGAAATGAAACATATTATCATTATTGTTACAACATGTACCACACTTATTATGACTATTATTGTACAATATGTACCACACTTATTATGACTATTATTGTA